GTCTTTAAAAAAAAAAGAAAAAAAAAACTTGCTGAGTCCAGCTAGTGCCGCCTTTGGAATGTCAACTAAGCTCGCTGGCTTCACCTTCCTGGGGCTTGTGCAGGTGGCAGAGCTTCAGTGAGTTTAGGAAAGAGCATGTCATGACCAGGGGGCGGCATTTCACAGCATGCCTCCCGACCCTTCAGCTCTTGCCTTTCGTCCTCCTCTCTTTCAGGGTGTAATCTCAGCTGTGTTGGGGTTGGTGTAGATGTCCTGTTTAGGGTTGAGCAACAAGCCTTTCTCTCTCCATCTTCTGAAACCAGATATGTAATTTTACTTGGCATCAATAATAAATCTGAACTTAATTCAGATGCTTACTGGTTCTGCCCTTGGCTCTCATTCCCCAGTAATGCATAGCTCAGGCGCCCTGGTCCTCGATCCACTCACTCCATCTCTGTTCACCAGATGTTTCATAGTTTGCAATGCAGAGGCTCAAACCCAGGGCCTTATGCAGGAAGGACTCTCTCACTGAGACAGAGCTCCAGCCCTATTTTTGAATTTTAAAACATAAAAATACAATCTTGTATTACTTTTACATAGAAAAAGATAATCTTTTATAATATTTTATTTAAATGTTGTTTGTGTGTGTATGTTTGTATATGTGCATGTTCTGGGTGTTGGGGTGTGCAAAAAGAAGCCAGACGAGGCTGTCAGATCCCCTGGAGCTAGAGTTACAGGTGGCTGTGAATTGCTCGATGTAGGTTCTGGGAATCAAACTTGGTTCCTCTGGAAGAGCAGCAACTGTTCTTAACTGCTGGTTCTTCTCTCCAGCTCCAAAAGGTAGTCTAAGTCATTTGTAATTAGCTTACTCTAATATCTAGACGAAGGATGGTATATAAATATATCTGTCATTGAGTCAGCAGAAGAAATGCCTGGGAAGGCCAGGGAAGATTTTTTATGTTGGTCTGATGTTGAAAATACTTACACTCTCCCCACTCCCTCTATCTATCTATCTATCTATCATCTATCTATCTTTCTTTCTTTCTTTCTTTCTTTCTTTCTTTCTTTCTTTCTTTCTTTCTTTCTTTCTTTCTTCAAATCAGGGTTCCAAGTAGTCCAGGTCAGCCTTCATCTAAGTAGCCAATATAAAAACCTTGTGATCTCCCTAACTATTCCTCCCTTGTGTGAGGACTATAGGGATGTGCTGTCATGCCATCTTGCCTCCAGTATATTTAATTTTAAAGGACAAATCTGAGACATTGAGCAGGCAATCATTCAGGTTTGAAGCAAGAGTGCAGGGTTGCTCAGCAGCCCTTTCCAGTGTAAGGAATCTGGTGAATGTTTTATGGTCATTAATCATGTGTTCACTAGCTGGATCCCAAACCCCAACACAGTCCTCAACGCTAACATACTCTATTCTGATCATGTTTTCCCCTGCCCAAATTCCTCCCAGATTCTCTCCACCTCCCCACCAATCCCGCTTTGTTCTTTCTCCCTCTCTTTAAAATACTAAAATAAAATAAAAATCACCAACAAACTCCAAGAAATGTATACAGCAAACACAAACCCCCACAAAAACATAAAAATGGAAACCAAAGAGGGGGACCTTTTTTTGTTGTTTTGTTTTTTTGTTTTCTCTGTGCAGCTTTGGCTGTCCTGAACTCGCTTTGTAGTTTGAGGCTGTCCTCAAACTCACAGAGATCTGCCTGCCTCTGCCTCCCTGAGCGCTGAGCGCAACACCACTCACATTTTAAAAGTCAAACCTTGACGGCATGTGTTTACTTTATACAAAAGATAACATTTAAAAGACAGAGAGAGAAAGGAGGTCAGTTTGTAAATGTTGGGATTATTGACAAGCTATCAAGAAATAAACATTTCTGCCTCATGCCACGTCTTAGGGGATTTATTGCTGTGAAGAGACACCATGGCCACAGCAACTCTTCTAAAGGAAGACATTTCATTGGGGCTGTCTTACAGTTCAGAGGTTTAGTCCATTACCATCACAGCAGGAAGCCCGGTGGCAGGCCAGCGGACATGGTGTTGGAGAGGTCGCTGAGAGTACTGCCTCTGGACTGGAAGGCAGCAGGGAGAGGAAGGCCTGAGCTTTTGAAATGTCAAAGCCCACCCCAGTGAAACACTTCCTCTAGCGATGCCACACCTACACCAACAAGGCACACGTCCTTATAGTGCCAATCTCTATGAGCCTACGGGGGCCATTTGCATTCAAACCACCACAGGCCATGTACAAAGAGAAATGAACAGATAAATTCAGGATGAGGAAGAATAAGACAAAGTTATCAACAGATGCGAGATATTACCCAGTTCAGGTTTACACACGCACAGGAACACACACACAGAGGCACATTCACCTCGGGGGAGGGGTGGAGTGGAGAAGGAGACGGGGAGATAAATAGATCCCCATAAGACTGCTGAGTCCTGTCTGGCTCCAGGGATCGACTTGACTGGGTCGGTGAGGGAGTGAAGACAAAGACAGACACAGAAAAGTCAGGATCAGGCAGCCTGAGCTCTTGGATGGAGAAGCTCCGCCTAGCTATTACATACATTGGAACAGGGAGGTGGAGTTATTGCATCCCACCAAATAAGGAAGCTGGGAGGTGGGGTTATCATGTAAACAAGGATGTAGGGTTACTTCAGCCAGCAAGAACACAGATTTGGCTAATCTTAGCAGGAGCAGTCTCTGTAGAGGAGCCGTCTCCAGGCTGTAAACGTCTACAGTGTGGGGCACGGGGCGAAGGGCACCATGGTGGACATTTTCTGCACTCACTGTCCACACTCACGTTGGGCTGAGGAAGGCCTTACCACGCCCATGAGTCTGAGGCATTGGGATCCTTGGCATGGCCATGTCAAACTATATGTGTAATGGAAGTTTTGGTTTCTCTGTAAACTCAGTTATGCTATGTTTTAATCCCAAGTGTGGGATTTTAGTGGGGCTATAGTTTCTCCACACCTGTTAATTGTCTCATGCGGGGCGGGCGGGGCTTTTGCCAGCTGGTAAGGGCCTTCCACGTAGGGCATGGAGAGGGCGTGGTCTACGGCTTGGAGGATATAAATTGAGATCCCAGACAGGGAAGGTGTGATATCCGGCGTTGGCATGCGGTGCCTGGCAGTTTGGAGAGAGTAGAGAGGCGGACTGTGTGGCGCTGTGGAGCAGACAGATGGGAACGATTCAGAGCACAGGCACTTGGAAGAGCCCTCTGGCCCTAAAAGAAGGCATTGACCCTGAACGGGCTGGTCTCGAACCCTCAGGGATCTGCTTGTCTCTGCTCTGAGGGCTGGGATTAAAGGCGCAGGCCACCTCACCAGCTTTCTGTTGTTGTTGGACCAGAATTGATTGAGGGGGCGCAGAAATAAAGGAGACAGAAGCAGAATTGCCCTTTCGTCAAAACAGTTTGAAGGCCAGTCTTCTCGGGAGCGGAGCCTGGGCTCCAGGGCACCGGGGGTTTGGGGCCTTTACGGGGCAGAAGGAACTTCATCTGCACATCTGTTTTTGCCTGCAGTCTGAAAGTGGTAAACACCGGAGGTTCTAGTCGATCATCTAAGAAGCTTCCAGGGTCCTCACAGCCCACAGGTGATTGAGCCAAGCCAGCTTTCCTGTCCCGAGTTATTCGGCCGCCTGAAGGTCACTAACCTTTCAGTTTGGACTGCAACTGCTCATTTACACCTGGCATGCACGGGACCCCTTCGAGGCCAGTAGAGGGTGCTAGATCCCCCGGAACTGAAGCTATGGAACTGGGGCAACGCGTGGTTGCTGGAAACAGAACCCAGGTCCCCTGGAAGGGCAGCTAGTGCTCCTAACAACGGAGTCATCTCTCCAGCCCAACGTCACAGGCCTTGACAAGGTTTTTCTGACGTGCTGCCTAGCGCCTGGACAGGCATTTGCCATGGCAGCCTGTGGGCCTTTGTGCCTGTGATGAAGCGAGGAAACACTCGACTCTACACAGTCACCCAAAACATAGCATTTTTATTCCCACGGCTTAAGCTTTAACAAGTCAGCAGTGTGACCTGAGGCAAGCGACTTCCCTGACACCCGGTGCCACCATCACAGAGCTTATGCCACACTGTGAAGCTTCTATTTCATGTAAGTATGTACTCAGTAAGTGATTACTGGTTTTCACAACACAGTCCTAGAATTTGCGGACTCCACGAGCTGTCACAGACACGCTCCAGCCTCAGGCCCGGGCAGTTCTTTCTTCAAGAGAGTCCGCCTAGGTGTTTCTTCCCTCAGGATCGCCGTCAGAGCCGACGACCACGCTCTCGCAGAGCGAGGCCATAGAGAGCTCCGGGAGAACGGTGAGCAAACGACACCGAGCGCGTTCCTCTGGGTCGACCAGCCCAAAGCTGGAGGGCCGCTAAACCCACCGCGCAGGCGCAGTGAGAAGGGCGTGCCGGGGACTACATTTCCCGGCAGTCCCCACGCAGCTCCAGCCCTGCCGTCGCTCTGGTCTCCGCTTCAGGCTGGAGGTCTCCCGTGTGTGGGATCGGCTTTCTGAAAGGTTTTCTTTGTGGGGCTTGTTAACGACGGGCACTTCTGGGCCCCAGCGTGACACGCCAACGCCGCTGTGCTCTGGTTCAAGCGTGGCTCAGCAACTCACCTTTTTTGTCTTGTTTCGGTTTCGTTTTCTTTCGAGACGGGGTTTCTCTGTGTGGCCTTGGCTGTCCTCGAACTCACTGAGAGCCGCCTGACAGGAACTTAACTTCTGGCAAACTTTCCTGAGGAAACCTGCCCTGGTTGTGCCCGGGGCACCTAGCCCCCCAAGTCCCCATCCTCGGCGCGTCCCACCTGGCGGCCCCGCCCACCGTAGCCCCGCCCCTCACCCCAAGTGGACACGTCCTCCTCTCCTTTTATGCAAATTGTCTTAATTTTTGTCGGCCGTGGGTGCGTGGCGCGACCCGGCCCAATGGGAGCCCGCGTAAGCAAACGGGAGTCGGAAGTCCGTCCTGACTGGCAGCCGTTGGCCTATGACGCCTAACTCGCGCGCGGAAACTTCCGCCGCGGGCGCCGAGAGCTAAGTTCTGTGCAGGCCTGAGAAGCTGGTCAGGAGGCGACGCTGCAGGCCTATTATTGCCAAGATTTGGACCAGGCTTCTTCCGGCGGGGTTGGGAGCCCAGAGCCTCCCGGGGACAGCGGTCGTGGTCTACTGTTATTCACAACCAAGGGCATCTTTCAAGCGGACAGAGCTGGTTTCGGGACCTAGGCACTCGGGGGCATGGCTATGGCTGCGGGTCCGAGCTCCCGGGAGCCAGAAGGGCTCCTGATAGTGAAACTGGAGGAGGACTGTCCCTGGAGCCAGGAGGTACCCACGCCTGGCCCACAGCCCAGCCCAGAGGTCTCCCACCTGCGTTTTCGACGGTTCCGCTTTCAGGAAGCCTCCGGTCCCCGCGAGGCCCTTAGCCAGCTTCAGGAGCTTTGCCATGGGTGGCTGCAGCCGGAGATGCGCACCAAGGAGCAGATCCTGGAGCTATTGGTGTTGGAGCAGTTCTTGACTATCCTTCCCCAAGAGATTCAGAGCAGGGTGAAGGAGCTGCGCCCAGAGAGCGGCGAAGAGGCCGTGACCCTCGTGGAGCGTATGCAGAGAGAACTTGGGAAACTGAGGCAACAGGTGACAGCTGTTTTATCCGTGGTTTGGCCCGGAAGACTGGCCTGGTTTTGTAGTCTGATATACTTGATTGCCCTGAGTAGACTTTGCGTGAGGGAGAGGCATTTTCGCGCTTCATCCGGAACACGTTCCTTCCATATTTTCCCCGTATGATGACAGTGGGCAGGGACTGTGCTTCAGCATGTAGGCGTTGGTCCTTCAGTAGTGTTGCAGTTAGACTCCGGGCAGGCTAAGCTGTTGGTCCTGTTTTCTCTTGGTAAGATGAAGATGCTGAAGTACTGTCTGGGGATAATTTCGAGGTTTAGGAGGAAAATACGTCTTTTGGCACTGCTGCCATTGCTTCAAGGGCTTTATTTTGTGGCAGGGTCTTAGGTGGCCGTAGCTGACCGTGACTCACTGTGTAGCTCAACTTGGCTCCAGCTTTCCATTTCCCCACATTCTGAGTTCTAGGGTTACAGGCGTGTGTCATTGCGTTTGGCTCTGCACTTTCTTTTTTAAAAGGCAGATTCTAGTTGTGTAGCTCAAGGTTAAACGCGACGTGACCTTCCTGCTTCAACCTCCCTTCTACTGAGATTACCACAGGCCTGTGCCACCACCCCAAGCGTATACTTAGTGGTTAACACCTGGTATATCGTTGTCAGCAGTCTTTAATGCAGAGTTGGATTTCTGTTAACTGAATTTTGAAAAACAGCTAGGCACTGAGGTGCTGTGGTCACTACCTGCTAAGTTTACCTTTGGTAGTAGTGAGAAGTGGGAGCACCTCGACAAGGTGAGAGCGAGCGCCAGCAGAAGTGAGGTGTGTCAGGAGTGTGTTGAGAAGTTGTGCACTGGAGTCTCACTTTCCCTTGCTTCCATCCCTCCCTCTGTTTTCTGTTACACACGCCTTTAGCATAAACGCCTTCAGCATAAACCATTCTCTTGGCCAAGACCAAAGGGATGGTCCTGTAGTTCTCTGTTGAAGGCTCGTCCTAAGAATCCTGTACTCATGTCCGTTTCTGTCAGCCCCGTTGTGATGATGAGTGATGTGGGTTGGTTCCCAGGTCACAAACCAAGGGCGGGGAGCAGAAGTGCTTTTGGAGGAGCCTTTGCCACTGGAAACGGCAGGAGAGTCACCGAGCTTCAAGCTGGAGCCAATGGAGACTGAGCGAAGCCCTGGCCCCAGGCTGCAGGAGCTGCTAGACCCCAGCCCCAAAAGAGACCCCCAGGCTGTAAAGGAGAGGGGTGAGGGACAGTTACCTGGGCAGGTGGGAGGGAGGAGGGGCTCTGGGGTAACCTCGACCTAGCAGAATGTAGTACAGGTGCCAAGGAGAAAGAATTCCTGAAGTTGAGGTTCTCAGATGTGGTCTGAAAAACCTGAAAGTGTGGGGTGGATTCTGTGAGGGGTCGGTGGGAGGAAAAAGGGAATCCCCTACCTAGGAAAGCCGTTTTGTGCACGGAACTATAGTTTATAGTTAATGATTGGTGTGGGTGTGGTCAGAATACCGTTGTCCAGCATGAAAAACCGCTCGCGTACCTTTTCTATGACCCTGCTACTTTAGATCACCTTACTATACCTTTTGCTACTCTTTCTTTAATGTTAGTCCTAAAAGCTGAGACTGGGTGCTGGGGAATGCATATTGTCTTGTAATAATCTGTGGGTTGCTAAGATTTTAGTGTCACTGTTCTCATTACAATTTCTGTCATCTTTAGCATTATCTGCTCCCTGGCTCTCTGTCTTTCCTCATGAAGGGAATGTGGAAGATAAGGATATGACGGGGTCCCAGGTGATGTGGGACTTCTCATTGCCTCTCCCCAGAACCCTCCTTTTTTCCTTTCCCTTTGGGGTGGGAGGTGCCCTCTGCTCCTAGGTGAATGTTTTCTCTCTGATCAGATGCCTCCTTCCTTTGTCTTTTTAACCCATCGCTTGCAGGCTTCCCCCATTGGCACTCGTAGGTTTTTCCCCTTTAGCTGTGACTCTGCTTGAATTGTCCCTACTGCATGAGATGCTAAAGGCGATCTTGTGTTATTTCAGTTGCCCGAGAGCTTCGAGGACATGGCAATGTATATCTCTCAGGAGTGGGGCCAGCAAGATCCTAGTAAGAGAGCTCTCTCAAGGGATATGGTGCAAGATAGCTATGAGAACGTGAGCACTCTAGGTAACAACCTCTCTTTCTGGGACAATGGCATTTATGACCAGAGGGTTCTGTTCCTTGGACACACTTACCTTCTGGATATGAGCTTTGAGTTTGTCAATATCTATCTGTAAGTGATATTATCTATATATAAGTAGCCAGCATTCGTATAGTGAGTTGATTCTCAAAGAAATGGTCATCCTATGTTTATTTTTTACTTATTTGAATTAAAAATTATATGTTTTAAAAATTCAATTTCTTTGAAAATATTTAAAAACCCGTAGTCTTCTCTAATTTCTTTTTTTCTGGAGGGTAACTACTGGGAATGCTTTAGTGTAGATATCTCCCAAGTGATATATGTCAGACTTGGGGAGAGTTTGTTTCTGTCTGCTGGCAGGAAGCAAGACTTTTGTTTTCTCTGCTTGGTAGAAGAGTGTGGTGACCTGCGTTTCTCCTTGTGAACAGAGTCCTGCACAGCGGGTCAGGAGGGCTTAGCCACCCAGGTGGAACAAGGAGGGAAGCCATGGGAGCCTAGTGTCCAAAGCTGCAGGGAAGGCGTGAGCCCCAGAAGCCCACTTCCAGGTAAGAACTGAGCGAGGATAAATAGTTGCTCAATGTGGCTTCCAAGGTTGTGTGTGACATTTAGAGATTTAAATACATGGCCAGTGTTAGGCAGTGTGTGGGGATAACTGTCTCTTTATTTCTTGCACACTCTTAAACCAGTGAGGTAGCGAAAACTGCAGAGTGTAAACTGAGGAGGTGCTAACTCTTGGACTTACTTGAGACATTGTAGGCTCAGCTGTGAACCATACATGAAGGGGGAAGCTGATCAGAAAGCAGAGTGGGGACCCTAACAAAGGGAATTCTAAGAGGAGTCTGAGCTCTGAGTCTTTGAGTCTTCTCCATGGGCTTCTCTGGCATGCTTTACTTACAAGGGCAAGATGGCAAACAGAACTCTGGTCTCACGGCCTCTTGCCTGAAAGGCATGTAGCTATTTCTTTTTTCCACTGTAAAATAACCTAAAGGTTTGATTTTTTTTTTTTTTTTTTTTTTTTCTCTCTTGCTAGGGGCAGAAAAGTTTGAGAACCCAGAAAGAAATGCTGAGTCAGTTTCTCCTGAAAGTGCTGATCCTCCAGTACTGCTGCCTGGCCCAGCCAGGAGGGAGGTGCCCTGGAGTCCCGAGGAGGGCAGACCTGATGATGGAGAAGGACACTGGGAATGTCCCTCAGAAGACAAAACAGAGGAGTCCTTGGTGGGAATCATAGGTTCTAGAGGACTGGTCCAGCCAAAGGAACTGCCCAAGAAATTGCATTTGTGCCCCTTGTGTGGCAAGAACTTTTCTAACAACTCAAACCTAATCAGGCACCAGAGACTGCATGCGGCAGAGAAGCTGTGTATGGACGTAGACTGTGGGGAAGTTTTTGGGGGGCATCCACATTTTCTATCACTGCACAAAACACAGGTGGGAGAGGAAGCCCATAAGTGCCTTGAATGTGGAAAATGCTTCAGTCAAAATACCCACCTCATCCGCCATCAGCGCACCCACACGGGTGAAAAGCCCTATCAGTGCAATGTGTGTGGAAAGAGCTTCTCCTGCAACTCCAACCTCCACAGACACCAGAGGACACACACTGGGGAGAAGCCCTACAAGTGCCCCGAGTGCGGGGAGATCTTTGCTCACAGCTCCAACCTGCTCCGCCACCAGAGAATCCACACTGGGGAGAGGCCCTACCGCTGTAGCGAATGTGGGAAAAGCTTCTCTCGGAGTTCACATCTTGTCATTCATGAAAGAACCCACGAGAGAGAGAGACTTGACCCTTTCCCTGAGTGTGGGCAAGGCATGAATGACAGTCCCCCCTTTCTTACAAACCACGGAGCTCTCAGAGTGGAGAGGAAACTCTTTGAATGTTTAACTTGTGGGAAAAGTTTTCGGCAGGGCATGCACCTGACCAGACATCAGAGAACACACACAGGAGAAAAACCGTATAAGTGTGCCCTTTGCGGGGAAAACTTCTCTCATAGATCTAACTTGATCAGACACCAGAGAATTCACACGGGAGAAAAGCCTTACACCTGTCATGAGTGTGGAGACAGTTTCTCTCACAGTTCCAATCGGATCCGTCACCTGAGAACCCACACCGGAGAAAGGCCGTACAAATGTTCTCAGTGTGGAGAAAGCTTCTCTCGGAGCTCACGCCTCACGAGTCACCAGCGAACTCACACTGGTTAGATACGGGGATCGCTTTTTGCCTCAGTTTTGGCAGAAAGCAGTCTTATCCAGAGCTGGTGTTCTTTGCTCACTGCGTGTATTTTACAGTTACTTAATTCAAAGAGAAAGTGGGACTTAGTTTAAGGGAGGTGTAGAGGTGAAGAACTAGCTTAAAACTCAAAAGTTCAGTCTTTAAAGTAAGAACTTAAGTTCTTTGAGGTAACCTGCTCAGGGCCAGTTTTCTATGAAGTCCATCCTGTTTTCAGGTGCATCTACCTTTATTGTTTGACCCAGGTATGGTTTGGGTGCTGTACTGAGTCTGGTATTTATCCCAATAATTTTGGGAATACATGTGACTTCAACTCCTTATTTTTGACATTCAGCAGAGGAGTTTGGGCTTCTGAGGCCCTTGAGACCAAAGAAGGGCTAGGTATCCTGGGAGATGAATTTAAGGTCAACAAGACTGATTTTAAGTTGCATGTTTTTGAAAGGCCGTGGCTGGGAAGGCCTGGGCAGCCCAGTTCTGCCACTACAACACCTCTGTGTAGTTTGTCAGGGGTGCTCATTGGCATATAAAGTGACCCAAGAAAGAAAGGGAACTGTAGACATAGGGAAGCCATAGGGTAGAATCCACAGATGAGCCTGGCGTTTTACAGATTAAGGGTATGTGGTTACAGCCTACCTTTCCAGAGAGTGTGACTTTCTTCCATTTGTCAAAAATGTGCATAGAGCGCTAGAGACGTGACTCTGAATGGAAGGTTTCATGATTCCACAGAAACAAAAAACATCCTAGGGAAACTAGGAAATTATGTCTTTCTTTCCCTGATGAAAATGATAATAAATATCTCCCAGGAAACATGAATAAGTATGGATGTTTATTGAGGGCCTTTGTGTTGATATGTTTCAGACAAACTGCTCTTTCCTTGTGGAGATTCTTTTGGTTTAGTGTTTGGTTTGGTTTGGTTTGGATTTTCAAGACAGAGTTTCTGCCCTGGCTGTCCTGGACTCGATTTGTAGACAGGCTGGCCTTGAACTCACAGAGAGTGGCTTGCTTCTGCCTCCCAAGTGCTGAGATTAAAGGTGTGGGCCGCTGTCGCTGCCACCATCACCACCACCACCACTGCTGGGTCAATTCAGGCTTTTTAAAGACAGGATATTTTTGTCCTGCAAAACTGGTTCCCAGGAGGGAATCCAATAATGGTCTTGATACAGTAGCCATTGATTATTAATGGTGTAGAGGTAAAAAGAAAGGCAAAATTCGTATGTTTTAGAAGGTGGGCTTGGGATAGGAATAATAGTGTTTATCTTTGTTTTTTTTTTTGTTGTTTTTTTTTTTTTTTTTTTTCTGACAGGGAATCTCTGTGTAGCTCTGGCTGTCCTGGAACTCAAGTCTGTAGACCAGGCTGGCCTTGAATTCAGAGGTCTGCCTGCCTCTGACTTGGATGTGCTAGAATTAAAGGCTGTGCCACCACTTCTCGGCAGTGTTAATCTTTTGAGAGAGTTAGACCCAGCACTTTAGCAGTAGGAAATAAGATACCAGGAAGCCATCTAACTAGCTGTTCTTCTGGGGGAAAAGGTGATGGAACAATTTCGTGAGAAACCCGGAATTTTGATTTCATTAGAAAACACAGTGTAGGCTTAGGTTTTTCTACAAACCTACCTTATTTAGGGTTCTTAAGTGCTTCTGCCTCCCTTCCAACCCACAGAGCAGAGGTAGGGGAGAAAGACGGTTACTAGGGAAGGGAGTTGTAGACTTTTTAGAAGTAGGTTTGTAGAGTAAGTCCACTCTGTTGTCCCTCTCACAAGGCAGCTTCCAGCAAAACATCACATGATGCAACTGAGTCTTCAAAGAAACAAAAAACTTCCTCTTCAACACACAAATATTTTAAGAACATGTTTTCATTTTAATCCCAGGTGTGGGGATATGGGGCTGCTTTGCAGCAGCTGACTGATTTGCCTCGTGCTCAAGCAGAGGCATGGTTTTGCCAGCTGTATATAGTTTCTGCAATTGTGTGATGTTGAAATTCTGGGAAATTTTCAGAGGGTGTGTACATGCTAGAGCCCCAACAGTCGGGGTTGGTGGTTGCTGGTCGTTCATGGGGGTTGGTTTGAGTTTGTTAGTAGTTGTGCTCAAAGAAGAAACTAGGAGGAAGAAATTAGATTCTGAGATCTCTCTCTCCCTTCTATCTTTCTTTCTCTCCTATATTAATGACAGGGATGAAACTCGGGGAATAAAGGATGGGAAAAAAAAAAAGAACTCAAAGTATCAAAGACCAGCTATAGAGCAAAGAAACAAGAAAGAAGTTATATTCAGAGACCTCTGTCTCTCCCTGAGCTATCCTTATCTAGTGATGGGGGTGAAACTGGGGTAAGGGGAATAAAGGGTGAGAAAAAGTAGAATCCACAAAGTAGCTAAAGCCAGCTACAGAACAGTCCATTAGCAGCAGCCTGTCAGAGCAATCCTCACCTTATCTCAGGTTAGTGTGTTCAGAAGCTTGGTCTTCTGGACCAATTTTTAAACATTTTCTAATATCTCCCTTTACTTTCTGGGCCTTTCACGCGTTGGAGGTGGGTAGTGGTGGTATGAGGACTGAGGGCAGGGAAGGAAGGGGAGGTTAGTGTAGGTTAGAGATTAACAAAGCATCTGCTACAGTAGGAGCAGGGTCTTTGTCCCGTGGAGTAGGGTGGGATTGGTAAGGCTTCTGCTGCCATTTGCTACACCACCAAGCAGCTTGCTTGGATCATTCACACACACAGCATTCTATAAAATCACCCATGCACATATTACATGGTCCAACTGTTGCTGTGTTGTGTGCTTTTTCCTGGGCAGATGTAAAGAAGTGTCCGTCACTCCAGATAAGGTGCCAATGGCAGACTAAAGAAAGCATTCCACCCATGTTAAGGTGGGTCAGTGAGTTTGTTGGTGCTGCATACCGGAGGGTCAGATTCGAACAGTTTCCTGAGCTTAGAGTTTTCTTAACTCTGTGTGGGTATATGGATATCAGAGGACCTAATAGTGGCATTCGTCAACAGCCATCCACCTATTTAAGGACGTGACTGAGGCCTGGAGTTTACCTACCAGTTAGGTCAGGCAGGCTGGCTGATTGTCCAGCCAGCCCCAGGGATTTACCTGTCTTGATGCTAACAGCACACCTGGCTTTTGGGGTGCTGAGGCTCAAATTCAGGTCTCCCTGTTCATTTTCATCCCTCAGCACCTCAAGTCTTAGCTGGTTTCCATTCTACAGGAGAGAATGTTCCGAATCTGAGGAAGTAGCTAATCACCATGTTTTATTTTAAACATTCTCGATTTCCATCATGTAGTCTAACCCCAGCTTGAAAGGCTCTCTCTAAAGAGGGAGGTTGTATGTAGCTTAGGTTGCCTTTTAATTTGCTAGGTAACTTAAGAGATGATCTTAAATTTCTGATCTTCCTTTCTCTGCCTTCAAACTGCTGGGACCCCAAATGAGTATTAGGACAGTGTCTACCTTTGCAGCACTTTCCATTTTAGTAGCAGAATGCCCCTATCCTCTGGTTAAGGTACCAACTCCAATGAGTAGGCATTTGAGTCCCGTATGTGCAGGTACGTGAAGTCAGTTTGTCAGTCTTCTCCAGCATAATTACTCTATGCTGGACAGGCTGTAAAATGGGAAGGGATCTTACATCCTTTCCATTCCCTCTCACAGTGTTCCCCAAGCCTTGGAGTAGGGATTGACACAGATAGAAGGCTCTTTCAGAATTGGACTGACCATAGGTGGAACCAGTTTTAGAAACCGACCATAAAGTCATAATTTTTAAGACAATGAAAGAAGCTTAATGAGAATTTGGAGTGTTTGAACCCCCAAATGTGTGGCTAGATGAAAGCTGTTAAGGATCCAGGGAGTAACGGCTTGCTTCCTTGAGTACTCCCACCGTCCCTATGGTGGGTGGCAGCTGCCAGGTCCGGCCTATTGAATTTCCTGGGGGAACATATTTAGGACAAAGGCATCTTGGAGGGGAAGCCAAGCTGCCTGGTTGGCTTGTTGGTCAGCTTGGTTACTACCCAGAATATCAGCGTGATCCCCCTGGCAGTCCTGGGCACCCACACTAGAAGCCCAATGCCTAGGACATGAGGCCAAAACCTCAGTGGTAGGCTTAAATTAGGTATCGGGGGCAGTGAGGAGACCAGTCTCTCCTGATGGCTGTGTGGGTGTGGGACACATTATGTGTGTGCTTTCCGTGTGCATCTGCAGCTGGGGTTCACATGACTGTGGACTGCCACGTGGGCACCAGGAATTGAACCGGGTCACTCGAAGAACAGCCAATATTCTTAGCTGTTGAGCCAATTGTCTAGCTCCTATTCTGTAATATTTTAATTGTCTTTGGTTTGTACTTTCCTATTTGGACTTAAGACCATGTAGGGTACCATGAATCTGATTTTGGCCAGTTTAGGCTCCTTGGGAGTTCCTTTTGGGGGCTTGGAAGGAGCCCTTTGTTCCTTTGTGTGGCATACATTTATTATTATTATTATTATTATTATTATTATTATTATTATTAGTCCTGGGGAGTGAAACCAAGGTCTTGTGCATATTAACTACTCCACTAGTCGATTACCTAGTAGAGTTTGAGCTTGTTTTTAGCATAGCCATTACAATTTAGATAATTTGGGACAGTAATTCATTATTCAGATCCTTGTTTTTGTACATACAAAAATACCCAATATTCATACACTTGAAACTTAAATTTATTATTTTCAAACTGTATTCTAACCAATACATAAGTGGGCATTGATATGAAAATAATGTTCGATTAAAAACAATGTCAACCGTACTTTTGTATTATATAATTGCAGTTACCTTGACACAGTCTGGTTACTTGAACCAGAAGTTGAAGGCATACTGGAAGTATCCTTAATATCATGAAGCCTATTTTTTTAATAAGCTACCAATTCTTGAATGTCTTTTACTCTTGAACTCTTTCTTGGCTATATTTCATTTGATCTCTTTTAGTGTAAAATGGAATCTTTGAAACTCAGGTGTGGTATCAACAAAGTTAACAAGGTAATCTCTTTTATAGTAGACAAATTTAGCAGTCTGCTTTTCAGTTGCCCTCTTTTGGGAAGCTTCATTATCTCACCTTTTGTTTTGGGAGAACAACTTTTTTTCTTTTTTTCTCACCTCCATTTAATGACACCCTGTTATTACCCACCTTGATTTCTAACTTTACCTTTCTCAAGAATTTCTCTATAATCCCTGTCTTCTAATCCTTGAAGGCCACACACAGGTTCTTTATTGGAAAGACAATTTCCCCGTGTATTTACTTCATCCCAACTTTTTGCCCAGGTAAAAATTCCACTTTTCATGTTGTAGATCTTAATCTTGGAAATTCCCTTTTCTCTTTTATCCTGTTTATCACTTTCTTTCACTCTCTTCAAGCTGTTTCGATCTACAAAGTCATCTGCAGCACAAGGTCACACCTTGATTCCTTGGCTGATGAAGTAGTAGGTGGGAAGAGCATGCATTTTATTCTTCCATCCCTACTGGTTCATGGCTCCGTGGAAGGGTGACCTGGAGAGTTGTCCAGAAGTAACAGTGCCCAATGTCTTCCTCATGAAGCCTTAGATCATTAAGAGTGCTGGTCCTGGAACAAAACTGAAAGAACCATTCTGACCATCCTGAAGACAACCCTCTGCTAAGCCACATGGCTCTACTAGGTTTATGTATCACAGATAATGCACTTGTGGCCTCTTTTACACTTCTGGGCACGTTTGCATTTCCAATGATTTTATTTCCAATAATTTGGGAGTTCCATCTGCACTTGTACATACAGGGGCAGACAACCATTCTTTCTGTATTGCCCATGGGCTGCCCAGTTCTTA